GGGGCGGGGCGTGACACATAACCTGGGAACTCATTCACAAACGGAGCGAACCGGTTTCCATCTCTCGTCTATTTCTAGAGACGCCGCCATCAACTTTCCCGTTTCCTTCCCCCCGATGAAAAATGTCGGCAGAGATAAATCTAGATGCGCCGGTTTCATATAATATCTAGCCGCTCCTTCAAATAAATGTAAACAGGAAGAGAGATCGCGCTAAACTACAACATTTTGGAAAATTCGAAAATACTTAGGTAAATAAAATTTGGTAACGATTAACACAACATGCTGCGTGTCTTGCGGCTGCAGCAGTCGGAGGCGGTCTACTATCGCTCATCAGTGGCCGGCAAGCAGAACAATCGCAGTCTCTCTGCCCACTCAGTACCACCCCTCTCTCCCTGTTGCAAGACTCCTTAATTCTAATCCCAAGTTCCGATCTGGCAATGCAGGAGGAGGACGGAGCGGGCGAGACGGCCATCGCCCCCCGGCTCCTGCAGCAGGGCGTCAGGGTGGTGGATCGAGGAGTGAGGATGGTTTCCATAGAGAAACAGATTAAAGCTGACATGCATCTCACAACAACAATATATATTCTCTGAGCAGTTGGTCTGTCACTGCTCTGCTGCTGTACCCGAGCGCGCGCGCCCACCGCGGCCCCACAGAGCAGGACGACGCCGAGTACTGCCCCTCCCCCCTCCCTTCTCCCCCTAACCCTAACCGCCCTATTCACATTAATATCCCGGCTCTTTCGCGCCTGCTCTGCTCCGCTCGGGCCCGCCGCGATAATTCTAAATCTGCGGGGCGCGGCGCCGCCGTGCGGCTGCAGCTCTTGCAGGCCGCGAGATGGTCTCGGAATGCGTGCGGTGGGTGTGCGGGGCGCGGAGCTGTGGGTGGAGGGCTGGTGGAGGGGAAGTCATTATACCGGACCGGTGAGTGCTAAGCGCACTACAGCAGGATGTATGCGTCATTGTTTCAGGCCCGCCGACCCTGGTCACCGTCGGGATCTACATCAAGAGCATGTCCGACGTGTCCGAGACCGATCAGGTCAGTGGACGCCGCCCGGGCGGGTGGGCAGGCCCGCGTCGCGGCCGCGCGCTCGCTCGCGCGCGTTTGCCTACCCCGCCTCTCGCGGGCGGCGCCTCGTGGCGGTCGCTCACGTCACGTCACAGAGTCTTTTGTACTTCCAGAGGTACTCGATGGACACGTACTTCCGCCAGTCCTGGTTCGACCCGCGGCTTCGCTTTTCGCTGCCGGGCATCGACGAGTTCTCCATGTCGTGGCTGTTCCTGGACCGCGTCTGGAAGCCCGACACGTACATCGTCAACGGGTACCGCTCCTACCTGCACCGCATCACCGTCCCCAACAAGTTCGCTCGCGTGCGCTCCGACGGCTTCGTCACCTACTCCATGAGGTGCGCGAGCGACTGCAGCGGACGACGACCACGACAGCATTGCATTCCATCCGGGTCAGTTTAGTACCATTTATTTTTCCTCCCGTAAAATTTCAGACTCACGCTGCAAGCCAGCTGCCCGATGCACCTCCGCAAGTTCCCACTGGACTCGCAGCGCTGCCCGCTTCTCATCGGGAGCTGTAAGTCGTGTGTACTGGCAGTACAGTAAGTGGTGGTTTTGGGCCTCCAGTTTGACGAGTTGTTCGTCCTCTAGACGGGTACATGGCCTCGGACCTGGTGTACGCCTGGCACCCCACGGGCGTGGGGCTGGAGCCGGGGGTGGAGCTGGCGCAGTACGACCTCGTCAACGTCACCATCACGGACGAGCTGCTCATTAGGCGGGGCGCAGGTACGTTTAGAGGGGTACTGGCAGAGGGCTCGGGCTCGCCTGGCGCGCGCTTAGTCTGCTTCATGCGAGGCACACGACGTCGATGTTCCAGAGGAGTTCTCCATGATCTCGGCCATGTTCCACCTGCGGCGCAACACCGGCTACTACACGCTGCAAGTGTTCGTGCCCTGCGGCCTCATCGTCTGCTCCTCCTGGGTCAGCTTCTGGATCGACCCGGACGCCGTCCCGGCCAGGGTGTCACTGGGTGAGGCTGTGGTGGGAGATGGATGGCGTGGACTCGAGGGGTACTTCACTAAATGCAAGCGAACACCGATTTTTCTGTTTTTCTTGATTGTTTCTTATTTTTGGGGGTGTAGGCCTACACTGATTTTTCTGATTTTTTTTCCTGATTTTTTCAAACAAGTGAAGTACCCCTCAGGTAAATGGCCTCTGCCACCTCGGCTACCGCTCTAAAGCTCTCGTCCCACAGCCGTGACGACGGTGCTCTCCATGACCACGATGGGCTTCGGCGGTCGCTCCTCCATGCCCAAGGTCAACTACGCCACGGCGCTCGACTGGTTCGTCATCATGTGCTTCGCCTTCGTGTTCGCCGTGATGCTAGAGTACGCCGCCATCAACTTCATCGACAAGGTGACGGTGGACCTGCGGCGCTTGCTCGAGGAGCGCAAGAAGAAGAAGAAGGAGAAGAAGGACATCGACAAGGTGACGGTGGACCTGCGGCGGCTGCTCGAGGAGCGCAAGCAGAAGAAGAAAAAGAACAGCACGGGCAGCGTGCACGCCTCCGTGTCGGTTGCGGGGCCCGACGCCCTCGCGACCGCACTCAGCTTGCCCACCGCCGTCCGGAGGTCGCGGTCCTCGTCCCTGGACGCGGGCACGAGGCCCGGGGGAGCCCAGCACCTGCGCCGGTCTCTACAGGAACGCGGGCCTCGGTGGCGTCCGTCTGCGCATTCGGCAGTGGCCGCGTACTCGGCCGCGCCTGCCGGTTCCTCGTCTACGAACACTACCCCCGTGACGCTGCCCCCTAGGACAGAGGCGCCGGCCCCGGCCGCCACCCCGAGGACCTTGGAGCTGTCCGTAACCGCGTCCTCCGGTTACGTCGTGACTTCCCCGAGAGTGTCGAACCGGACCGCGTTCCTCTCGTCGGCGGCCCTCAGGACCGACGGGGCCCCCCCGACGACTGTCGCTGGACGTGCAGTCGCGACCACGACCAACAGAGAGGGCACAGGAACCTCCACGACGCGCAACAGTGCTGGTTCACCGGCGTCGACGTTGAGGCCGTGGGCGAGCTCCGGGGCCTCCTCGCCGACGGCCCGGCGGGGTGCCCGCACACCGGACCCAGTGCTCAGGACGGCGCCGGAGCTCATAGTGACCCCGACCACCAGCGCGGATCGGACGACGGTAAAGAGCGCGACGTTGTCAAGCACCACGAAAGGGCGTTCCACTATCACTATGACAGGCTTGGCTAATGACGAAATTTTGCAGGGACCGCGTCCGAGTCCTTCACATTCCCACACCGAGGATGAGATTGCGTTCGCTGACCAGGGCAACTCTGTAGGTGCGCAGGGGGACGTCCCTGCGTCCTCCTCAAACTACACTATCCCCATCGAGGTGGACGCCCGGCCGGCCCAGGACTCGCTGGGCGTTCTGCTCGTGGTGCCCGAGGTCGAGGGCGTTGCCAGACAAGGGTCTCCTACCCTGCGAAGGTACTGGACCGAGCGTTCCTCCCGGTTCTCCTTCGTACCGATTGCCCCTGAACTATGCCAAATTAAAAGTGTGAGCCACTTCTTCCCACAGGACCCAGTCTTTACGGAGGTGCTTGTCTGTACCCTATCGACTTTGGGAACAAACTAGATTTTTGCCCAATGAGGAAGATGTTACCAGACAAATGCAAAGCAATGAAGAGCCGGAAAAGTTTACAAAAATTGATATTGTTTCTCGAAAGGGTAAGAAAGGCTGAACTGAGGTGATGAACATTATCAACTCTACTTTAGTTATGAATTTTCTCTCAGTAAAGTATTTTCCTTTTTGCAGTTTTTCCAATCGCTTTTGTGTCTATGCTAATAATGTACTGGATCATGTATGGGTTTTACATATCAGATGTGTTTCCTGGAGAGGAAGGAAAAGATGTATTATATGAACTTGCATATCCAAAAAAGAAAGTGTAGATATGTATCAAGAATAAAT